CGCACGGCCACCCTTTTTTAGCCAGTCACTCCGTTGGTTTCATTCCATGTCAACGTCCGCCGATGGAACAACCTCCATTGGCTTCGTTTCGTCGGCTGCGTCAGCAGTCGCTTCATGACAAAGCTAGTGATCTACTGTACATTCCTCTCTATCTATTCTAGAGCGTGATCCTGATGTCCGGCCCAGTGCTGTCTGTGAACGTTCTCCATCCATCTTGATACACACATGCTTTCGATGGTGGCGCTTGGATGGTTGGATTTAGTAACGGTGGCGCTTGAGCGTCGATTCTTTCTGAAGGTGTTGCTATTGAAGAGTCTCGTCGTCCGTGTCGTGCCATGACATGATTGGTACAAATATTGTCATTGTTGTAATTTATCGATCACAGATCTGATCACTTTATATTTCTTTTTCTTTTTTTCTTCGGCTGCATCGCTTTTTTTTATATGACTTTGCTAGTTGTTGGCGTGTTTTTTATGTGTGCGTTAATGACAATTTTGTGCATCCTAACTGTAATGAGGCCGAATATGTGCTCTTTGTGTTTGTTTCATCTTGATGCTCCATTTTGAGCCAATAAAATTCATCCTCTATAAAAAAATCATTTTTTCATAAAAGGCATTTTTTATTAACTAAGTAGCATCGAGGGATATAATCATAATGAGTGACCGAAGCTATATTCCTCTTCTATCTATCTAGATTAGCATGCTCTTGATGCCCGGCCCAGTGCTGTCTTCGTATGTTCTCCATCCATCTTGATACACACATGTAAGCCCTTCCACATGCTACAAAAAATTACGGAACATAGTGTGTTTGCTAAAGAAGAATGCAGAACGGAATACAGCATGCCAACGTCCCCAACGTTTTCTCTAAAAGATGCACAACATATGGGGCGTTCCATGTGAAATTTCTACTGCAATATTTATGCTTCCAACTTATGAAACAGATGTTGCATATCTTGCATAAACTCGAACGCAAACACAAAACCATAAGCCACCCACCGCACCGCACACACCCTACAGGCTACAGCTACAGAGCACACACCCTACAGGCTACAGCTACAGAACGACAGCAAGAGTAAAAAGTCAACTGAACTGGAAACTATATCTTTTTCACCTCACCAATGAGAGGAAGATCACTTCATCCACATTTAACAGTCCAGTCCAGTACACCGGCAAGGCACGCACGATACAACAACAAGAATGATATCGCCCAGATTTCTGGCAATAATTCTCCTACCAAGACCACACAAACCTGACACATGACAACCGAACTGCGGTTTCCAAAAATTAGACAGCACCTGCCAGCCATGCCGCCGGCCCATCGCCCTTTCTTCTAGGGAAGCAGGGCAGCTCAAGGCAGATTACAAACATCATCAGACTACCAGAGAGAGAGTCACTGGCTGGGACTCTGTCGGAAAACTGTACACTGACCAGAGGCAAGAATCGACGGGGGGCGAATCAGCGAATGGCATTCCCCCTAGCCTCTGTCTCATCAAGTCTAAAAAACCGAAGCTAACAGTTGGTCTAACGCTAGTTTATCAAATCAATGGCGAGGCCGCCGCCCATGCTCGCTGAAGCTGCCTCTTGACCAGTGAGACGGGGAGAGCTTCCTGATTTGCAGAGGAGCTGATCTACTCTGGGATGCTGGTTTTTGTACACGGCCGCCCGTCGATGCTGCCGAGTAAGGGCCACCTTCACGCTCCTGCCTCGCTTCTATTCGGCCAGAGCTGTACTCCATGTTTATGAATGGCGAGGGGTTCCGGTAGTCCAGGCACCCGGAAGCTCCGCTGTTCCACCAGCTGCCGCTACCACTGTCAAAGATGAAACCCGCCGGGAGGTCGTCGTCCGGGTCACATGATGACTCCCTGTGGCTGTAGGAATCACCGACGGCCTCCTCTGCATCATTGTAAATCAGCTTCAGTGCCTGGACTACTTCACCCATGAACGGCCTCTGTGACGGATCGCTGTGAACGCACACCGAAGCGATGGACGCCACTTTGGCTACGTTGTCGAATTTGTAGTTGCCGTTCAGAGAAGGGTCGATCAGCCTCTCCAAGCCCTCTCTATTGCCTAGAAGAGGACGAGCCCAAGTCACAAGGTTCTCAGGATCCATGTTGTCGGAGATGCCTACGGGCTTCCTTCCTGATAAAAGCTCCAGCAAGACAACCCCATAACTGTAGACATCGCTCTTGACAAGAAGATGCCCTGTCATGGCATACTCTGGAGCAACATACCTGCATGATCAACAGAGAAATTTTAGCTTTTGAAAGCCAAGGGTAATTAGAATGGAATTAAGACAAGCTACTCTTGAGCAAATTTATGTACCGAAATTCATATAGCTTTAGAGAAGTGTAATTCATGAACGACCCTACCAAGCATTATTGTTGTTTGACATGAAGACATTCTTACAATATCAACAAATGTGTATGGAAGGCAGTATTAATCACAAAGAGACACAAAATCATTCGATCACAGCATCACAAAATACCAAAAGAATAGGTGCTATATATATCATTTATTTTCATTAATAGTGTGTATTGGCGATATTATAGGGGCTGGACATAACCGAAGTTTCTTACCCGAAAGTGCCCATTACCCTTGTGGAAATGGGATTGATTCCATTGGTTGCTTCCCTTGCTAATCCAAAATCGGTAACCTTGGGAGTGAAATCATCCTCAAGCAATATATTGCTACCTTTGAAGTCGCGGTGTATGACATGTGGGTTTGAATCTTCATGTAGGTACGCCAGGCCTCTAGCAGCACCCAAAGCAATTTTCATCCTGACATCCCAGTTCAGCATGCCCTTATCCTTGTCAGCACCTGGACACACAAAGGATCAGATTAACACAAAGAGTCATGCTGAGTGCACACACTCCTAATCCTAGGCTTACATGTGACAGTGATAATTATGAGGTCAATTTTTGTTTTCTAAGATAGCTCAATGCTTTCTTTGAGACACGCCACTGGAGAAAGTTCAGATGTTAGTAGATTAGTAACGGTAGTTGATCCTGTTTCATCCATGCAGTTTTCTTTACTCATATCATTAATGAGATAATATTCTGATCTTTCAAAAAAAGATAATATAGTGCAGCGTTTTGGACCTTTTGGCATCGGGTTCCATGGAGCCCAGAATTTGAAAATAAACAAAAATGTTATTTCAAAGTTCCAAACAAAAGTTGAAATTGTTTCTACGAGTACATATGGATGTTCTCTGTGTATATGTAAATTTTCCTAAATAATATGATATACACATTAGAAAGTTAGTACAGATATACTACACATCTATATACGATATACACATTAGAAACTTAGTACAGATATACTACACATCTATATGTGCAATGCCCAAAAAAGACAAAAATAAGCCCATTTTTGTTCATGTATTTGTCCTTTTATATGCATCACATACAAATATGTATATTAATGAAACTTAGTACAGCTATACTACACATCTATATCTACACATAATCGAGCTATAAAGTTAATATTTTTGAACTTCTCTTTACAGTCCTCCCTAGAGCCCGTCCTCCAAAGCGACTTTCTGAATTTTGAAATCTTATAACAAGAATAGCAGCTGGTCCTGCCAATCTAAGCTTAGGTAAAAGAAATTGTTGGACCAGACTCGTCTAGTCATTCTACTACCTCATTTCCGGTTTATTAGGCCTGCGTGTATCTCTAGGTTGAGAAGTAGATCAACGTAATAGAAGTTATATATCACAAAAAATATTTCATTAGAAACTTTAAATTGTATACTTTCTAATGGATAATTTTTGGACTATACAACTCATCCTATGTTGGTCAAATTATTGATCTAGGGATATGCGCAACAGCGCAAGCCTAATAAACCGGAAAAGAGGTAGTATTACGAGAAAATTGGACACTCAGTTAAATATTTCCATTTTGGCTGCTATGCATTAATATATACGAATTTCTTGCCATGGTTTCACTAGTTAAGACTTACCAAACATAGCATGTATTACTAATACTAGAACATACCATGAAGATGGGATTCCACACTTCCGTTGCGTATAAGCTCGTAAACAAGACACCTTTTTCCACGTTCAGTGCAAATGCCAATCAATTTGACGAGATTACGATGGTGCAATCGACTGAGCATTTCCACCTCCGCGATGAACTCACGGTCACCACTCCTGTCCTCTCTTGTGAGCATTTTAACAGCGATCTCGTTTCCATCATCCATGGTCCCGTGATAAACACGCCCAAATCCACCTTGACCCAAAACTCTTCTTGAACTAAAACCATCAGTAGCCTTTTCAAGCTGTGCAAGCGAAAATGTCTTCACTGATGCGGCACAAGTGGCCACTGTTGAGAGCATTGACGCTGATGCAGAGCTCACCAAGCTAGTTGACTGAGATCTGCCACCTGTGTACCACACATTAGGTCGTTAGCAACTTAGCATAACTGCCATTACTAGCGAATTTTGTCGTGAAACAGGGGGTTATAGGTTTTAAAAAGTTCATGTGCCATGCATGCAAAGTGACATTCTTTTTTCACAATAGGGGGTAACTAACAAATATTAAAACGGTTATTTCCACGCAGAACATAGGCACATAGGACATAGCATATGAGAACTCTAGACTAAAATATTTTTTTATCAATTTTAGGATTCGGGCAAATTTATAAAAAGAAGTGTCCAATTGTTCTGCCTCGCCGATAAGTGTAACTCTGATTACCAATATCTATGTGGCAATAGAATCATTCAAGTGGAAATATTACCCACCAGTAAATATTATAAATATCCCTATTGCCCACATAAAGATGATCTTAACGTGGTTAAAGGGAGAAGTTCCCTCCCTTAAATGTACATTGTCATGTAGAAATGAGGAACCCTGTGGAGCTTGCTCTAACCATAGTTTTCGAGTCGACGAGTCGTTCTGGGGTAGCGACTCTTGAATAGTCGACCCTGCAGATGCGAGTAGTCGTGACTCGTCGACTAGTCAACACGTTGTTGAGTCGACTTTTTTATGACTCGACTTTTTTTACGACTCATCGACTAGTCGTTCGACTCAAAAACAGGGGCTCTAACCAACCGCCCACTACGTGGTTCTCAAGATGATCGTAACAGATTCTTGTATAAAGCCGGCAAATGTCTGTGTGTTGCTATACTGGGGAAATTATATTGTATATTCAAGAATATCTTTAATTTCCCCCGCAAAAAAAAGAATATATTTAATTTTACCATCTGTGCCATATCAAGATATTCATATAGGCTCCTAACCATTTGTGCGAAATCCAACATGTAATGTAACCCGAAGGTGAACAGACAATCACCACCAATTGGCAGCATATTTATGGGAGTGTAGATACTTTACATAGTATCATGTTTTTATGCTTTTAACTAGTGTATTTTTGTAAGAAAAATGATCAAGGTTGTATCTTGAAGACGATCTAAAATAAAAGAATCAGGAACAATGCTTTCTTCACTCTTTGGTAACGGGTGTAAGTAGGTAAATTTGATCTATCACGGGAATAACTGAAATATCATTTGTGCACAGCCAACAAGAACACTCTATTAAAGGATTCTAACATTGCCCATCAGGTTTTAAAATATGTGTACAATGGTTAAAGTAGCAACAGTAATAAATAGCATACTTAACGACAACAAAAGCTGTCGATTTTACCATGTCTTCTTTTAACTGACGGGGTGATCACATGGTTCCCAGCTTCATGAAAGCGCTTAAGTTTCTTCCATTTTACTATTAAAATAATGAGCGCAATGCATGCCACGATTAGTACCAGAGAGGACCCTGCAACTACCACGATGATCCAGCTATCTAATTTCTTCTTCTGATGGTGCACATCTGCGGTTATAGGGTATTCTTCATTTCCTGGAGGACCTGACGTAAGAGATGACATAGCTGGTGGTGCAGGTCCCAGCCCTGCAGTGATGACATTGCGCATCTAAATCATAAATTCAAGTAAATAACCTAAGAAGCAAATACTCCACACAGAGGTTTCTTACCTGGATAGGTAATATTTATAACCTCATAAGCTCCAAAAACAGATGAATTAATCTGAACCTTTTTATTCCAGAACCTATCTGATATTAGTGATGCAGTATAGCGATCAAAATGTTCTCTTAGTGGCACCAAATAGAAGGTGACTCTTGTCTTCTGGTCATCTTGGACACTTGGAATAGCAGCCATAATCTTCACTTGGCTCTGTTTAAGAAAGGTGCCAGCTGCAACTTCAACTTCCAATTCTGCTGTGTGCATGAATAGTAAATATGGAGCTACAGCAATGTCAACAATAACACTAAGGGGCATCACACAGCCACAGGGGGAACCGATCGGTGTTGAACTCAATGGCTCAGTACAAACAGTGCTAGAGCAACCTGCTGAAGGTACCAAAAAAAAACTATTCAACACAAAAAGTTACAACAAAACAAACAAGCTTATACTCTGATCAACAATTAGTCTGCATGTCAAAAGCAGCAGTACTAAAAAGAATAGTCCAGAGGGATGGATAATATCTGGGATTAGGTGAACTAACTCGAGGATGCAGTATGAAATTGTAAACATAAATGGCAAACCTTCAGGTGGGAGAGATAGGGATGGCGGAGGGGCATGGTGTGGGCGTCTGTGGTGTTTGTGTGAATGCACAGCGATGCCTGTAAGAATAGCAGATATTAAATAATTGATAGTTTATGGGAAATTTAAGCATGAACTTTTAGCACTGACGTTGTCACGGTTACATACCAGGAGATCTTGGAGACAGCACTGCAGGAGAAAATGCCGGGGAAATTCGAGGTCCAAACACTCTTGCTTCAGGGGGATTTGACGGATGTGGCGCTGGACTAGGCTGTATGTTTGCTGGAGAACGAAAGGTAATAAGTTTACGTTTGACAGAAACGAATTGCAAAAATCTCATAAGAGAAAAACTTCGACCAACCATATGGGTAGCATCATGTTCAGATTAACATATACACTTTCAAATGGTTACTTCAAGAAGCTCAGGCGCACTGTACAATCGTACATTTGCATTTGCGACCTATATAGGCAATGCCCGCTGGCAGTGTCTATTTCTAAAATAAGAGCATATGAACTGGAAAGGTAATAAGACATTTTCTAGAAGTTTTGTTCTGCATCTGGAAATGTTTGAATTCTGCGTATGTTCTCAATTTATCCAAATTTTACATCACAGTGACACTTTTTATTCCTCATACATGGAAACAAAACATGAAATGCCTTTCCGGCGCATGCTGCTGCTGTGTCATGCACTTTTTGGAGTTTTGAGTGAAAGTTAGCATTTCACTCAAATTCTAGCAGTTGGTTAGGAGGCACTGGATTGGGTGAGGTGTGTGCGTGTGGTGGTGTCACTGGTGTGTGTGCACGTGTGCGTCGTCCTTGTAATCGCCAAAAAAAAAGGCTTCATGGTTGCGATCCAAAGCTAAGAGCATGAGAGACACCAAGTGCAATAACTATTCCAGAAAGTAATGGTGTTAGTAATTAACTCCGAGAATGACACTGAATTGATACCCAAACGTGTCCGATACGTTTTGGCGGGTATCAGAACGTATTCGAGTATTCAGACGTATCTAACCCCTGATACACTGGTTTCCTGCCGTATCCGTGCAACTTATAGCTGTCAATCAAGAGGGGTCATCATACTACACTCAGCTATTGTCGATAGCTTCACCGGGATGGAAGAATACAACTATAAAATCTAGTACCGCAGATTTAGTTAAGAGAAGACCGGCAAGCGTTACTTGCAAGCAAAGCAAGTGTTGGCTGACTATTAAGAGACCATACTACATGTCGGATTCGAACTATTTATAGGCGTGCCTTTTACCTTAAGGTTTTGTGCTGTGGTCTGTTGGCTGGTTTTTCACACAGATGGGCACGCCCCTGTGCTGTTTTACGCACGCCACAAACCGAAATTAAACTCAAAAATGCATGTAAAAGCTCCAGTGTAGTGCTCCAGCAGCAGTGGGAGCACAAACTGTCGACAAGTCCCATTCCTCCTCAGCATCAGGAACATGCAGTGGAAGCCAATGTCATCTGTTACTTTCAGGCATGAGAAAACAATGCCAGGCTAACACCGCCTTCCCTCTCACAGACCGTACACAGAGCTCCAGCCGCATGTACCCACCTTGCTGGATCCTTCCCCCAGTAGTCAAAACCATCGATCATGGCAGAATCTAGAAATAATAATACTGTCCAGAACACCTTCTGACAACAGAATTCCCCTAATAATACACGGCGCACACACACGGACCGACAGAACCCCACCCGAACCCCAATTCCCAGCTTCCCCCAATCCCCAGAGCACGCGACAGCAACGTCGCATCTTGCTGCTGCTGCTGCTGCTATGTCCACCGTCCACTCCACAGGCTAGTGACGAGGAGCTGGAATTCGCACCGAAAATGCCGCCCCCACGGGCGCAAGCAACCCCCACGCCCTCACTCCAAACCTAACCCCACCCCACCCGACTCGGAGCGCGCAACACAAGCGCGGCCGCGGAGCAGAGCGAGCCACCAACCCCGCCCCGTCCCGCCCCGCCCCGCCCGCCCGAACTCCCCAAACCCAAACCCAACCCAACGAGAGCGCGGTCCGAAACCAAGCAAGCGGAGCAAGGAAGCGAGCGAGTGGACAAGCATACCGTGGAGCGCGGCGGCGGCGGCGGGGAGGAGTACCCGCAGCAGGAGGAAGAGGAGCCCTCCGCGGCGGCCCATCGCGTCCCGGGTGCCCGGCGCGCGCGCTACGCCATTGCCGTCGCCCGCGCGGCGGATCTGGGCGCGGCGTCGACGGGGGTCTTAGGTCGGCTCGGCCTGCGGCGAGCGAGAGGAGAGGCGATGCGAGGGGCGGTGGAGGTGGGGGAGGGAGGGAGGGGGGG